GGGGGGGTGCAACAAAAGATCGAGAAGACAAGACACTGCAACAGCCAGGCAAAGCTGCAGACTCATGCAAGGCGAAGTTGATGACGGTTCATGTGCCAGTTAGGGTTTGTGGCACGCGCTGGCCTAAGGCCCAACCCACCCCAGCGCGACCCGACCCGGCTTTAGCACATACCTGGGTGCCAGAGTAAGTCCGAAGCACCGGCCATTGCAGTTCGTCATGCACACACACACACACACCCGCACACACACACACACACACACACACATCTGTGACTACTGTGTAAGCCTTGTCCATGTACAGCCTTCGCGAAATCAATGTTCATGGTATTTCTGAAACGTAGCAGTGTCAGTGCTAGCAGCAGCATCGTTTGGCCTGAGTGCCTATATGCATGCACTTGATGCCTGCATGCACACCTACTTCTACGACACAATGTAACTAAGTACTGCAAGCTCTCGCATTGCACCTAGGTCAGAGCTGTCTACTGCCACGTGCTGATATGTCATGTTACGGAACCTCAAGGGGTCGGAGTTATTGTAGGGGTCTAAATAATTACCAATACTATTTTGGGGGCTCCTTATTATAATCATAGTATCATGGGCTCCCAAACCCTATTCTAGTTATTAGGGCCCCTAAACCCTAACCCCTTATAGTAGCCCTTATAGAACCCTTTAAGGAACCCTTTAAAGGAACCCCCACAACCCGGTTCTACTTATAAAGGCCCCTATGTTATTGAGCGAACCCGAAACCCCGACCCCGTAGCTCCGCTAAGAAGGCCAGGGACGGAGGACTTCGCATTTCGGGGATGCGGAGTGGAGCGACTTCTGGTGCAGATGCGTTTTAGGGTCTAGGGTTTAGGGTTTAGGGGGTTTGCGGATAGAGACTTTCCGCATGGGGCTCTCTGAAATCCCTCTTCCTGGTGATGTTTGGATCCGGGAAAGGACCTGGAGATCTTAGGCACTGAATCCGAGACATGCTTGTGAAAGGGCTGTGCGAAAAGCTGTAACATGGGCGCCAACATATGCACACCGCGCCTTGCGCAGCATAGTCGGGCTGAGTGTGATTGGCTGGTAAGACGCCTGCCAGAGTCGCTGGAAGCCAGACGTCCATGACTTTAGAAACCCTAAACCCTAAAGCCTAAAACCTAAACTCCCAAAACCCAAAACCCTAAACCCTAAAGCCTAAACCCTGACAGTGAGACGTCGGCGATGCGCTGAGGCTCCAATCCGGTCTTCATTAGTTCGAGCTTTGCGACTGCAGCCTGGAAGCCTCCGTAATAAGAACATGGCTCTGTGGACATACATGTCTAGTGTAGGGGCCTTACTAGTTAGAATAGGGTTTCGGGGCCTATGATACTATAATTATAGTAAGGAGCCCCCAAACTANNTATAGGTAGTTGTTTAGGCCCCGATAGTACGAGAGCTATAGAGAGATGACAACCAACCAACATCGGAATTGCACTGCAAATCAGCGAGGCTAGGGATCTTCACAACAAGACCTGGCCACTCGCATCGGATGACATCAACTTATAGCACCTAACTCTTTGTACTACATTGCCAAGATATACCCCCCGCACCCCCCCCCCCCATCCCCGCACACAC